GCAGAGTACACAAATGCTTCCTTCTTCTTTTTCAGGGGCTATGTTTGGCTTTAAAACTAATTGATACACAAGCACTTGTGTTTGCTATTAGAAGGAATAATTATGATGGGTTAGTTGCTAGATGGAATTGAACCCTGCAATTGAACCAAAACACAGCCACCCTTTGAAATTCACACTTCTCTGAATTTTGCAGTGCAGTTCTCCACCCAAGTAATGTGCATAAATGTGTATACTGGAAGTGTGAATAAGAATGCATAGCTTAGTGAACAAAAGCAAATGAAAATGTTCTACATTACAGAAACTTGCTCTACAAAGTGTGTATATTGGGGAAAAATACATAAAGAAATGTGATATTAGGAGACTTTGCTCTTAAATGCTGATGAAGTTTCACAAGGACATTAAAAACAAACAAACAAACAAACAAACAAACATGCACAAACTGATATGGAAATAACTGAACTTTAGATTAGAATAATGAGAAACTGAAGCCACATTCACAACATACATATAAAGTACTGTGATACCACTTTGAGCAGCCATTGTTTCCCCCAAAGAATTCTGGGAAGTGTAGTTTGTTAAGGGTGCTGAGAGTTGTTAGGAGATCAATACAATTCTCAGAGTGGTTTAGCAATAAATCCACCTTTGCAGAGAATTCTGGGAATTGCAGCTCTGTGCCAGGAATAGGGGTCTCCTCACACCTTTCAGCACCCATAACAAACTACACTCTCCAGGATCACTGGTGCTTAAAGTGGTATCATAGGGCTTTAAATGTATAGTTTGAATGTGGCCTGAGAGAAACTGAAATTAACCCATTCCTCCATTCCTCTTACTAACACACACAAACACACACACACACACACAGAGAGAGAGAGAGAGAGAGAGAGAGAGAGAGAGAGAGAGAGAGAGAGTCCTTTGGAAACGCCATACAAAAATTAAACTGGAAGTTTGGGCTGGGAGAGAATGACTGGCAAAAATCTGCAGTTAGGAAGATGAAAGGCAGGAAGCAGTCTTGGATGCATCTCACTTCAGAAAGAAAAAGACAGTAATAGGGCAAGAAAAGGCAGACACTCTTCAATTCTAACCTGTATCTGCCAAGCCTCGAAACTTTCTCTCTCAGCTGCTGCTGCCTCTTCAGGAACCAAAGAGGTGGGGTGGAGAATAATGGAACTCAAAGATTTGAGCTCTCTTCTGTTATTTAAAAAAAAACCCCACAGCCTATTCTAGGGGTCCAATGAAGCTGGATACAACATTATTTCACATCCAGTCATAAAAACAATCTTTCTCACAGGTAGTAATTTGTGAACAGGTACTACATACTATTGCAGTCAGTTACCATAGCATGTCACCTACCCACTGTTAAGCAGCACCATATGCCAGGCATAATCAAATAGCAACTGTTGATGATCCAGTGTTGAAAATCAGACATCCTAGGATGCAAAGTATCAACTATTCAGCCGAGATACAAGCAGTTGCAGAATAGCTGGAGAATAAAGGTAAAGGTAAAGAGAGCCCTGACCATTAGGTCCAGTCGTGACCGACTCTGGGGTTGCGGCACTCATCTCGTTTATTGGCTGAGGGAGCCGGCGCACAGCTTCCGGGTCATGTGGCCAGCATGACTAAGCTGCTTCTGGCAAACCAGAGCAGTGCACGGAAACGCCGTTTACCTTCCCGCTGGAGCGGTACCTATTTATCTACTTGCACTTTGACATGCTTTCGAACTGCTAGGTTGGCAGGAGCAGGGACCGAGGAACAGGAGCTCACCCCGTCGCGGGGATTCGAACTGCTGACCTTCTGAACAACGTCCTAGGCTCTGTGGTTTAACCCACAGTGCCACCCGTGTCCCACAAGCTGGAGAATACTGAGCATCAAACTTTGCAAAATAGGAATTAAGGATTTTTTTGGGGGGTGGGGGCAAAGCGATGCAGCTCTGCTCTAAAAATGTCAGCAGAAACAGAATCTTAGCAGAGGTGATCCCATATATCCACACGCGGAGGCAGTTGCCTGGGGTGGCTTGGAAATCCCTCTTGCTTATGTTCTTTCAGAATTCACACTTCCGATGTTGTCCTCTGTAAGGAGTACATAGTTTTCAGGGCAAAACTGCATGCTATATACAGTTGCATGCAAATATATATGAGAGCATCCATGGAAGGCTGCAATCCTGGATGGGGCATTTGCTGGAGCAGGGAGAAAGAGGCTGCTTCACCTCTCTCTCCTGGGCGATTTTTTTGCACTCAAACTGCATTTCCACTGTAGGGGGAAACATGGATGCCCCATGTACCTTTTCTCCTGCTTGGTAAGGATCAAACAGCCATTTATCCAGCACCAGTCTATCTGCTCAAGATTGCAGCCTGCTTAGTAGGGTTATGAGATACATTTGTGTCTGTGCTGTACCATTCAAAAGTGTGTATGAGAAGACACAATTGAATGTTCCTCTAACAACACAGGGGGGAGAAATCATTGTATGCAGTGATGTAACGTGGGTTGCTGGAACCCAGGGCAAGGCAAGTGTTATGCCCCCCTGGCGGACTGGGCAGCTGGGGTGGAGGCATGCGTCCAAGACCTGAAGGCCTGGTCCTGGTGCAACTTGCCTCCTCACAGCTCCGAAAGGTGACAGAAGCTCAGCTATGTGGCCTCAATGAGGGAGCCTGTCATGGGGGCACCTGGTTGTGCTCCTCTCAGAATTTTGTGCCTGGGGCCTCTGCCCCCCCCCCCGGCTACGCTACTAATTGTATGTACAAACTATATGCCAGGGATCAGTCTAGCCTATGTACATACCTTCTCATCCATGTGGCTATTTTCTCTATGGAGGGAAGTGTTTGTGTGTGTTTGTATAGAGCTCTACAAACTAACAGGTTCAGCCCAGGAACAGTTTGGGGACCTTGGTGCAAGCTAAGCCTAACTCTGGCCCAGGAACCCTGAAGTTTCTTGGCAGACTGCTTGAATGAAGAAGAGAAGAGTTAAAAGTCATCCTTCTCCTGCAGAATTGGACTGTCAAAGCCTTTTGCCAGCATCCCGCTTGCCAGCTTTCATGAACCCGTTCCACTGCCACTGGCACACAGTTAGCAAATGGAGCGGTCCAAAAGTCTCCCTGGTGTGTCTTAATTGAAGTCAATAGACTTACGCCAGGGAGGTATCCGATCCAAGATCTCGGACTGGAGACCATGGCCAGTCCAGCTGGCAAGACAGAGACAATGATGATGGCTGCACAGATCCCAAGCTCAGAAAATGGCTTTGGGGCACTCGTTTGCCTGTACAGAGTGTCAGTCCCAAGCCAGAGAATGAAACAGATTTGAAACAGATTAATACTACCAGCCGGCATGTAATTCTCACTTTAAACTCTCCAATATATTGAACAAATAATTCCTCTTTCCACCTCCTCTCTGGTTTCAAATAAAATGACCAGCAGTCCTGGTGTAAATATCATGTTGACAGTCTTGCTTTTAACCGATTAATTAGCTGATTAGAAAGAGAGAGACAACAGAATTTCAAACCAGGCACTGCTTTGGGGGGTATTTAATTAAGGTAGCTTGGGCAAATCATTTATCATTGTGGAAATCATTTTAAGCTCCGAATGAACATCCCAAGTGGAGAATCCCAATAATAATCAAGTTACACTTCTTGACCCAAGTTGTACTGGATGAACAGTTCTGCACTATTACACAGTTACTCACAGAGAGGTGGGGAGCCTCAAGCCCAGGGACCAAATGTACCCACCCCTAGCCTCTCTATCTGGCCTTCAAGTCCCCATGTTCCTCAGTCCTGCTTCCACCTTGAATGCCTCCTCTGGCAAGAATGTGTGCTTAACAACTTGTGCCTTTTCAACTTGGATTCCACAAAGATTGCCTGATTCATTATATCCCTAAAGGTAAAGGTAAAGGGACCCCTGACCATTAGGTCCAGTCGTGGCCGACTCAGGGGTTGCAGCGCTCATCTCACTCCACTGGCTGAGGGAGCCGGCGTACAGCTTCATGTGGCCAGCAGGACCAAGCCACCTCTGGCGAACCAGAGCAGCGCATGGAAACGCCGTTTACCTTCCCGCTGGAGCGGTACCTATTAATCTACTTGCACTTTTGACATGCTTTCAAACTGCTAGGTTGGCAGGAGCAGGGACCAAGCAACGGGAGCTCACCCCGTCGTGGGGATTCGAACCGCCGACCTTCTGATCGGCAAATCCTAGGCTCTGTGGTTTAACCCACAGGTGATGTCCTGGGAGTGGGCTCACTGTTATTGGTCCCTCATGGCTTGAATGCACAGCTTGTATCCACCAGGAGTTGTGCGTTTAGTATTGTGGGCCCAGTTTTACAGAGTTCCCATTTAATTGAGGTCCAACAGGCCCCCTCGCTATATAACATGTTGCACCTTCTAGAGACTTTTGCTTCCCACAGGCTGAATTAGTTAATCAATTACACGTATCCAATATCTCAGTGTTTCCTTTCAGAGACTCAAGGTGGTATGCATAAGTTTCTTCCTCCCCATTTTCTCCTCACAACTCTGTGAAGTGGCTCAGACAGAAAGAAGGTGACTGGCCCTCAAGGCTGCCCAGTGAGCTTAAGGGCTCACTGTGGTCTGAACTGTGGTCTCTCGGGTGCTTGTCTGACTCTCTAAACCAACATTTCCCAACCTTGGGTCTCCAGCTGCTTTTGGACGACAGCTCCCATCATCTCTGACTACTGGTCCTGGTAGATAAGGATGATGGGAGCTGTAGTCCAACAGCAGCTGGAAACTCAAATATGCTGTAAACCAATATACTGCACTGACTGCATTGTTATTGTAGTATTGTATTGTATTGTATTGTATTGTATTGTATTATCTGGGGTGTCCAGAACACTGTCTAATTATGTTGGGTTGGGTGAGTTTCAGTAAGTAAAGCTGAAGAATGTGGACAAGGTGCTTGGATCTGTCTGGAAGCTTGTCCCTCTTGGTTGATAAAAACCAGCAGGGAGGAAGCAGCTGGATGGACAAGGCAGGTAGTTAATGCTTCTTTATGAGAGGGGGTGGCCCCTGCCTGCTTGAAGGGACTGGGGATGTTTGGCCTTGAGAAAAGAAGACCGAGGGGTCACATGATAGCCATCTTCAAATATCTGAAGATGGAGCAAGCTTGTTTTCTGCTGCTCCAGACAGTAGGATTCATATTACAAGAAAGGAGATTCTTACTAAACATTAGGAATAACTTTCGGATAGCAAGTACTGTTCGACATTGGAACAGACTACCTCAGGACGTGGTTTACTCTCCTTCGTTGGAGGTTTTCAAAAGGAGGTTGGATGGCTATCTGTCAGAGAGCCATTAGCTGTAAATCCTGCCTTGCAGGGGTTGGACTAGATTGATCTTAGAGCCTCTTCCAACTCTACAATTCTATGATTCTACAAGTGCCCCTGGGAAAGTGTTGGGAAGGTTGGTGATATTCAGTCTAGTTCAAAACAAGCCTTTTGGCGACTTGGATAAAGCTCAAACCATATGACCAAATTGAAAAGATGTTAACAGGGTGGCTGCAATACCACCAGATCAGTGACTTATTAAAGGAAGATAAAAAGAGAAATGGGTTCGAAGATAAAAAAATCGAAATTCCAAATCGAGTTAATAGACTGTAAAGATAAAATTTTATCAAGAATGTATAGTTTATTGCTAGAATGGTATACAAAAGACGAAGAAGTAAAGGAATCAATGATAAAATGGGCAATTGATATTGGGCATAACACTGAATTGGATGCGTGGAAAAGATTATGGAAGGAGGGTTTGAGATTTACAGGATGCATGACTTTAAAGGAAAACTTGCTAAAAATGATGTATAGATGGCATTTGACGCCAGTAAAATTAGCTAAAATGTATAGGAAAAAAGAAAGAAAATGTTGGAAATGTAAAAAGGCAGATGGGGACTATTTCCATATGTGGTGGACCTGTCATAAGGTAAAAAAAAATTGGGAATCAATTTATAATGAACTCAAAAAAATATTTAGATATACTTTCCCCCAAAGACCGGAAGCGTGTCTATTAGGCTTAATAGGAACAGAAATTAAAATAGAAGATCAAAACCTGTTCGTGTATGCTACAGCTGCCGCGAGGACCCTTCTGGCCCAAAGATGGAAAGTACAAGATATACCAAATATTCAGGAGTGGCAGGCAAAGTTGACAGAATATGCAGAACTTGCCAAACTGTCAGGGAGGATCCGGGACCAGGGAGATCAAAGATACCAAAATAACTGGAGTACATTTATTGAATATTTAAAGAAGAATTGTAAAGAGGTCAAGACACTAGCAGGATTGACATAATACCTCCAATGTATAATAGTACTAATATGAGAATGATGTGCCTGATGGAAAGAGGATAAATATACCAGTTGTGGGGAGGGAGGGGGGTCGCGACTCGGCAGAGTCAAAGGGAATGTATGGTGCTATTACAATTTGTTGGAAAAGAATATGTAAGGAAAACAATAAAAATTCACTTGGCAAAACAAGCCTTTTGGTGCTAGCATCAAATCTGTAGAAGCCCCCACCCCCGCCCCTTATTTTTTGGCCAATTTTTTCCAGTCTTCAGTTGCATTATATTATATTTTTATTTATTGTTTCCCTGGGGGAACAGAGAGAAGTCAATAAACAGCCGATGTGTGTTTGCTCCTCATAATACAAAATACACTTTCAGGAAATAAAAATAAATAAAAAAACAAACCTTGACTTGCTAAATGCCAGCGTGACATTTCGAGGAGGCTGGTGCATGGGGAATTTTCAAGTTTGCAAATAATGGCTGGTTCTTCCTACAAAGTCTATTATGTAAAGCAGGGGTTTTGGCCTGGTGGGGCCAGGTCTCTATCTTTCCTCCCCTCACCAGCCAGCATTGACAGGCGGGTGGTCCCATCCACCTGTCAAAGTTGGCCCATGGGGGTGGTAAAGACAACAACCAAAGGAGAATGGAACTTCCTATGTATCAGCTGCTGCCAAGGGAGTTTAATCCTGCTTTCTGTGGGGTTTGGGTGAGCCAGCAAGTCCCCCTACGGAAAGCAGGATCAAACTCCTCGCTCATCAGCTGATGATGTCAGTTGATGTCATAACATGGTGTCAGCTGTGGGACAGGCAGACATGCTTTGGGGTTAAAGGCCTAGTAGGGCAAATAAGGAGCCTGGCAGGCAAATCTGGAGGTTCCCCATATGGTAATCATCTTCAGATATCTGAAGGGCTGTCACATGACAGGAGCAAGCTTGTTTTCTGCTGCTTCAGATGGTAAGACTCAAACCAATGGATTCAAATTGCAAGAAAGGAGATTCTGACTAAACAGTAGGAAGAACTTCCTGATACTAAGAGCTGTTTAACAATGGTCTGCACTATCGTGGAAGGTAGTGGGCTATTCTTCATTGGAAGTTTCTAAAGTGAGGTTGGGTGGTCAGCTGTCAGGGATTCCTGCATTGTAAGTGGTTGGACTAGATGGCCCTTGGGGGACCTTCCAACTCTACAGCTCTATGATACTCTGATGCAAGGCAAGGTTGTTTTCCTTATCTATTTATTAAGAAGTATTCACTTATTGCTGTGTCATTTTTTTTATACCAAGCACAAAGCGGTGTAAATAAAACCAACCACACAATTTAAACATCTCATGGTAAAGTGAATGCCAAACCACAAAGTCTTATTTAAGTCTCCCAGTAGCCACATAAGGCAGCATCCTAAACCACACCTGATGTCACAGTGTTACAATCACCATGCTCATAGAGCATCAAATGCTCATAGAGCAGTGAGGGCCAAACTTGGCCCTCCAGCTGTTTTGGGACTACAACTCCCATCATCCCTAGCTAACAGGACGAGCGGTCAGGGATGATGGGAATTGTAGTCCCAAAACTGCTGGAGGGCCAAGTTTGGCTGCCACTGTCATAGAGTAAACCAAAAGTCTTGCTGGAGCCAATCAAACTAAATGGCAGAGTGAGCAAATGAAGCCAAGGATAGTGACAGCAAATGAAGCCAAGGGCAATGAGGGCAGAAATCAAGGAAAATGGCAGTGATAAGCAGAAGCAGCCAATGGGGTAAAAGCACAGCAAGTGCAACGGGTATGAATTTAGCAAGGCTCTTCCCTTCCCTGTTGTAAATTGTTTGGCTGAGTTCTTTTTTCTCTAAAGTGACCACACATGCTCCTATTATCCTGGAGACAGTACCTGTTCTCTGGTATCTTTCCCTGGTAAATCACTGTCCCTGTTTTGTCCCCAGTTTTGGCATTGAGGGATGCCTTTTTAAAATGTTGGTAGTATGGGCTGCCAGACTTGTTATTCTCCAGGTTCCTTGCCCTCCTCAGTGTCTGTAGAAGTTAATTTTTTTAAGCAGAGGATGGCTGCCTCTCATCTCCTATGCCCATGCATATGCATGATCACGAAAATGCTACACTTTGCACAGCCTGCTCTTTCGCATCCTAGTGAGCCTCATTCCAAACCGTTGATAGAGGGATGTAGCTCAGTGCTGGGTAACATGCTTTGCAAGCAGAAGGTCCCCGGTTCAGTCCCTGACATCTCCAGGTTTCGTCAGGAAACACACTTGCCTGAAACAGTGGAAAGCCACCATTAGTCAGTGTAGACCTGTGATAGGACACCTGTGGGACTCCAGGTTGTGGTCATATTTACACCATGTCTTTAAAGCACTGTGATACCACTTTGAACCATCATGGCTTCCCCCAAAGAATTATGGGAGCTGTTGTTTCACCTGTTGTATCAGAATGGTGAATTAGGTAGGTTCACCTGTCATTGTCAACTGAATCAAATCCCTCCTGCATACCCATCCATAACTGAGGCGACCTTCGCACCATACATTTAAAGTACTATGATGCCACATGACACAGTCATGGCTCCCCCCAATGAATTCTGGGAGCTGAATTTGTTAAGGGTGCTGAGAGTCATAAGGAGATACCGGGTACCTGTTCCCCTCCTACAGCTACAGTTCCCAGAATAGTTCAACTATCAACCTGTCTTTACATGGAACCCTGGGGCTTATAGTTTTGGGAGGGTGATAGCAGCTGGTATTCAGAGGCCTCCAGTCATGGAGCTAGAACATAGCCATCAGGGTTGGCTGCCATTGTTAACCTCTTCCTCATCCATGAATTTATCTCATCCTCTTTCAAAACAATCCACATTTGTGCCCATCCCAGCATTTTGTAGGAGCAAATCCAATTGTATTCATATGAGAAAACAGACATCATTGTGTCTAGGAAATAGTGGAATATATTTGACAAATGAAATCAGAATAACTGACATACCACTATACATCATAGCTGTTTCCAGGGACCTTATTAAGCCACGAGTTTCTTCTTTTCCTCTGACCTTGGTGCACGAACGTGGTTAGCCGAAGAGGCAAACCCCAACACACTATGACATTCATCTAGTCAGTCTCTAATTCAGTCAAGCTTCAGTACGGACACTTCCTTTCCCCCACTAATCCAATGAGAGGCCATTCCCCCTTGCACTGTAACAATGTTTGCTGCAAGGTGATAGGCATGCGTGCAAATGCAGTCTGATTAGAATAGAATTCTGCTATTCCCCATCAGCACCAACTTCTTTCCCTGCCATTGTCTCAGTTTAGACTAACAAATACATTGTGCTCAAATCAGGTGAAGCTGGAGGGTCCATTAACTCAAACTATCAGCAGGTGGGTGGAATCTTCATGAAAAGGCCGCCAGTCTACTGGCAGAAGTCACCTGGCCTGCACTGAACACACTTACAGGAAGACTGGATGCCCAAGTTTGGAGAGGGAACAAGGAATTGATGGTGGTTGGGGGCTCCCTCTAACCATCTTCTCATAGTCATAATCAGGCTGATTCAGGAACATCTGATCAAGAGGATTGCAGATGAACCCATGTAGGAGTCTTCTTTGTGGAGGAGCATTTTATCATGTGAACTTTCACTGCCTGCAGTCCTGTGGGATACAATTGAAATATGCATTTACTTACTAACTCACCTTCCGTCTGTGAGGAGACTGGCTTTGCTAACAAGCAATGCAAAGTGGCTGAAACCCCCCCCCCCTCTCCTGGACATTTACAAGAAATGTTAACAGGGCTTTCCCTGTGGTGGCACCTCATGTATGGAACTCCTTTCCCTCAAATGTGCCTCAGACATCATTTCTGAAGACACACTGTAAAGACTCACCTCTTTGCTCAGTCTCTGAGCATAGGTAGCCACTGTGAAAATATGAGTATCCATGCTGTTT